AAATGTCCTGCAAGGCCACACCCAAGTTGAAAACCTTGGAGGCCGCCATACTCCTGGTCGAGTGCGCTCTGACCCCCATAGGTGACGGGAGGCCAGAGGACTCGTAGGCTAGTGAGATGGCCTCGACCACCCACCTACTCATAGTCTGCTTGGTCGCTGGAGATCCTTTCTTTGGCGGACAAAAACAAACAAACTAATCTGCCTTACACCACGGGGCAGCTCTGTGTGAGTAAGCGTCCAGTGCTCTAACTGGACAGAGCAGATTAAGCCTTTCTTGGCCTACTTCCTGGAATGGAGGAGGACAGAATGCCTGAAATACTATGGGCCCTGGCAAAGAAGTGGGCACCTTAGGGTCATACCCGACCCTCGGGTAAAGGAATGCCCTAACCATGCCTGGAGCAAATTCCAGGCACAAAACAGAAAGTGCCTGCAGATCCCCGATCCTTTTAAGTGAGGAAATAGCGAGGAGAAAGATAGTCTTGAGTGTGAGCAATTTGACTGAAACTTCTTCTATGGGTTCAAAGGGGGCATTGCATAAGCCGTATACCTTCAGAGTGGAGGGAAATAACCCTGTGGAGAATCGCTGCTGCAGAAACTCCAGAACTGTACCAATTGAGCAGTTGACAGGGTCTTGCAGTCGCAGTCCGCACCATGAAGTGAAAAGCTTACACTTTAAGGCATACTGTTTCCTAGTGGCAGGAGCCCTGGACTGGAGGATAGTCTCAACAACCTCAGCTGAGAGACCAGATGCTAGGAGCTGTGCCTCCTCAGGGGCCACGTCCACAACTTCCATAACTCCAGGCGGGGGGGGTCCATAACGCCTGAGAGAGGAGGTCCCTCCTGATCGGAATCTCCAGCGGAGAGCCGTCGAGGAGGGACACCAGGTCCTGTGTCGTTTCCTGCGACGCAAATAGATCCACTTCCGCCTGGCCGAACTCCCTCCAGAGGAGCTCCAGCACCTCGGGGTGGAGTCTCCATCCCCGGGCCTCAGCCCCTGTCTCGACAGGATGTCTGCCCCCTGATTGAGATACCCAGGGATGTAGACTGCTCTTAGCGAGAGGAGCTTCCCCTGAGCCCACAGAAGGATCTGGCACACCAGCATGTACAAGGGGCGCGAAAGCGTTTTTGAGACTGGCGATATGAGGAGCTTGATGGTTTGGGCTGCTCCCGCTCAGCAGCCCCATGGGCCTGGGAGTGACGAGGGAGGAAACGTTGTAGCCCGTCTCGGATCCCTCCACTAAATCCACCTGCGATCCCCACGACAACAGTCTACGCCATGCCTCGGCAACAGCGGGACCACGAGCCTGGCCGCTTTCATCAAACACAGTCAGGCAATGACAATCAGCTTCCTCGAAAGCTGACCGTGCATGCTCCGCTCCTAAACAAACAACACAGATCGTGTGTATCCCCCGCTGTCAGATAGCGTGGGCAGGGAGGCACACAACCTCTGTAATGCCGTTTGCTCGCCATAGATTTTAGCTTAGACTTTGACATACTCTTTTGAATGCTTGTGGACTGACAGACAACAGGAGTTATAGACTGACACATACACAGAGCGCTACTGAAGAGCAGAAGCTAACTTGTGTTTTGCCGGATGGCGCTCATGTCACCACGCTCGTGACGTCTTGCTGCTCCATTGGACTGATTTTACACATGCTTCAGAATGCGGTCATGCAGCGTGGACAGGGAGGCACACAACCTCTATAATGCCGTTTGCTCGCCATAGATTTTAGCTTAGACTTTGACATACTCTTTTGAATGCTTGTGGACTGACAGACAACAGGAGTTATAGACTGACACATACACAGAGCGCTACTGAAGAGCAGAAGCTAACTTGTGTTTTGCCGGATGGCGCTCATGTCACCACGCTCGTGACGTCTTGCTGCTCCATTGGACTGATTTTACACATGCTTCAGAATGCGGTCATGCAGGGGCGTTCCCAAAGCGAATCTCGAGGCAGCTCGAGTTCCTGAAGGGGAACTACATTACCCATGATGATGTACAGAAAATTCCACCAATCAGAGGACTGCAGTGCATAAATTGCACCAAAAGATCTCTTTAGCTCCACCCACAGTGATGTAATCAATTCGGTCTCATTACGCTGTCAAAATATATATGTATATATACATTTCTCCATTGTTTTTAAGACAATTATATCATTTGCAATGAATCATGGGATTGTAGTTCTTTCCCTCACTAAAGCTATTAAGTATACAGTCTTGCATCTTTGTCTTTTTGTCCGATTTTCAAATCCTTTTTGCTTCAAATGAAAATTTGTAATGCTGTGATTCTCCTTGTAGCTGGTTGGTTTGGTTCATGGCTTACAACTCTTTAAAAAAGACTAAAACGAAGGAAAAAAAATTAGTGGGCAGCACTAATGCAGCTTATTGCAGAAAATGACACCCAGGAAGTGACCTCATCTGGATTCTTCATGCAGTGTGTGTGTGTCTGTGTGTGTGTGTGTTTTACCCCAATTCTTCGTCAGCGATGTTTTTCTTGCCGGAGAGCTGGCGTTTGCGTAGTTCTGCGAGCATGGCTTGGATTTCATCGTTCATCTCGTTCACACTCTTCTCAGGAGCCCCATCCCTCGAGCCCAGAGTGGTGTTCAGCTCACGTGCTTTGTCCCGTAAAGCTGGACAACACACACACACACACACACACACACACACACAATACACAAAAATACTGTAATTGTAAACACTTTTACTAATGAGGTCACACCATACACTACTATTTTTGCCGGATGGCGCTCACGTCACCACGCTCGTGACGTCTTGCTGCTCCATTGGACTGATTTTACACATGCTTCAGAATGCGGTCATGCAGGGGCGTTCCCAAAGCGAATCTCGAGGCAGCTCGAGTTCCTGAAGGGGAACTACATTACCCATGATGATGTACAGAAAATTCCACCAATCAGAGGACTGCAGTGCATAAATGGCACCAAAAGATCTCTTTAGCTCCACCCACGGTGATGTAATCAATTCGGTCTCATTACGCTGTCAAAATATATATGTATATATACATTTCTCCATTGTTTTTAAGACAATTATATCATTTGCAATGAATCATGGGATTGTAGTTCTTTCCCTCACTAAAGCTATTAAGTATACAGTCTTGCATCTTTGTCTTTTTGTCCGATTTTCAAATCCTTTTTGCTTCAAATGAAAATTTGTAATGCTGTGATTCTCCTTGTAGCTGGTTGGTTTGGTTCATGGCTTACAACTCTTTAAAAAAGACTAAAACGAAGGAAAAAAAATTTGTGGGCAGCACTAATGCAGCCTATTGCAGAAAATGACACCCAGGAAGTGACCTCATCTGGATTCTTCATGCAGTGTGTGTGTGTGTCTGTGGGTGTGTGTGTTTTACCCCAATTCTTCGTCAGCGATGTTTTTCTTGCCGGAGAGCTGGCGTTTGCGTAGTTCTGCGAGCATGGCTTGGATTTCATCGTTCATCTCGTTCACACTCTTCTCAGGAGCCCCATCCCTCGAGCCCAGAGTGGTGTTCAGCTCACGTGCTTTGTCCCGTAAAGCTGGACAACACACACACACACACACACACACACACACACAATACACAAAAATACTGTAATTGTAAACACTTTTACTAATGAGGTCACACCATACACTACTATTTATATGAATCTCATTTTAATAAAATGATGATTGACACATACAGGGGACAGTATATACACAGATCAAATGTAACTGTCCCTTATTTCTTTTCACCTCCTTTTCATTGGTGTGACTTGCTTCAGTTTAATTCAAAGAAGTTCAAATTTGACTCAGCAGAGTTAATGTTCTTTAATCAAATTCAATTAGATTCTATAATATAACCCCAATCAGTTCAAACGGGAGGGCGAAATAAAGAGCGAGCAAGCTTCTCTGCATGTTGTAATTTAAATAAAAATAATTCAATTGAGATGAAAATTAGCTATAATTGAACAAGTGTTCAAATGCAAACAGTCGATCGACTACAAAGAGCACAGTATATACCTGCCAATGGATAAATAAATAATTGCATAGTGAGTTTCAAACAAAGCTCGGGTCTTTGGGGGGAACAGAATCATTTGATTCCTCCTCGTTTAGCGTGCGAGAGGATGAGAGATGAGGCGGTTTACTGGAGCAGGGAGCTCATGCACAGAATGGATAATGAAGCTCTTCCACTCCACGCTGACTGATGTCTGCTCTCCTCCACTTCTGCTAGCAGCTTTTGGGAAGCGGTTTTTGGCCAGTTATCAAAATCCAGAGGACCAACGTGCAATGTGTTGGCTCTAAGTGCCAAACACGTATCCAAGAAAATAAATTACGCACTTTTTTGTATTTATGGCTTTAATCTGCTTGCATCCGGTGAGTGAGTGTCCATCAGTATGTGCGTCTGATGTTTAGATGTCCAGAGACAACACCATCTGTTGTGAGAACACCTCTCAGGTGTCAACCACATTTGCATGATAGGTGTTCGGGGAATTGAGATTGTGATCTGGCCACAAAAACTCATAATCAGGTTTTTTTTTTTTTTTGTAAATATGGGACTGATAAATGTAACGATTAAGAAAGCACATGCAGGACAAAACATCACGAAAGTGTGCAATGCTGCAAAATATACCTGTGCTGCACCAACAAACATTCGCACAGGACATAAATCTAACATTTTGCCACACCTGTCAATGGCCTGCAACTTGAGAATATTTACTGGTCAAAAATATTTTTTTACCAGCCATGAAACTGTATGTGCATTATTTCAATAAAATGTTTATTATTAAAAAAAAATTTTTTTTTGATTTATTATTATTACATACAATTATAAAAATAAATAAATATTAAAACTAATATTTATAAAATATTAATACTAATATTAATACTAATACTTATGGTAGTTCCTCCCCCCCATTCTCATTGCATTCTCATTTTCAAATGCACAAAAAAAGTTTAAGAGCCAAAACAGAAATATATATGGAAGCTGCCTTTGGTACGACACTGTTATAGATGTTTGTTCAACTTTTATTGGCAGATCAGAGCATAGATGCTGTAATTTGTAGCTTTTATTAAGATCCCAAGAAATGCTTTTAAAATTGTAACTTCTTTTCATCTGAAACAGCATGCTGCGCTCAAGGCGTGAGACACTAAAAAACAGTAAGACAAGTCAAATACGCCTGTCTAGTGCATGTTTATACAGACTAGATGGACACAAGAAGGCAAATGCTGCTGATGAACAAGATGCAGCAAGAATCATATCATGATGAGTCCCTGAATCTGGTCATAAAGATGTTTCATGATTGATCTGAACTGAATCAACATTGAAATAAATAGATCTGAATATTGACACTTGTCTCCTGCAGAGCTGCTTCGCAACTGAAATTGAATGTTTCATAATTTATGAATTTTTAATTTTCTGTTTAATAACGTGAAGCTGATTTGAAACAATCTGTGTTGTGCTGATAAAGCGCTATACAAATAAATATGACTTGACTTGACTTAAAGGATTCAACTCCCACTACACACACAGTCAGTGAGTGGAGTATCTGTTTAAGTGATTATTTTCCAGTAATGAATTTTGTCTCTTTTAATTAAGGCATCACATAGTATTAGCTGAACCTTCATTATCTAAAGCAGCTTCTCATTTAAAGACATGCACAATGAGACAAACACTTATTTACAGAGCATCGGGTCTCACACACACACACACACGCACGCACGCACGCACACACACAGTCACACACACACACAGACAAGCACGCACACACGCACGCACGCACACACAGACACACACACACACACACACACACACACACACACACACTCACACACACACACACACACACACACACAC